AGAGTAACGTTAGACTAAAATGCCGGCAGTTCTGACTCACGTAAGTACGTTTTTATTTAAAGGATTTGCCACTGATGATTCAAACGCGAGTTTTGAGCAGTGTAGAGTAGCGCTTGTTGTTTGTCGTTTCTTCGATCACAAATGCAGACATGGTTTTATGTTTATGCGGCGCGATGCAACGCAACGCGTAAAAAGACAGTATAAGTCATTATAATCAGTAATTATGTCCCCACTGGATGCAACAAATGCCTCGTTTGTAATGGGTTTTATGTTTTTGCCTCGTCGCTCCGGCCTGACACAGCATCAACAGTATGGTGAGGGGCGTAACATTTCCGTCTCACGCTTGAGGTATTCGGCCAATCACAACGCACTGGATAGCTGGCCAATCACAGCACACCTCGCTTTTTCAGACCGATGAGCTTTGTAAAAATCGACGCATTTCAAAAAGGCGGGGCATAGAGGAGAAACAATAATGTACAGTATGTGGAAAATAATGTTTTTTTGACTTTAAACCGCATAAACACATTTCATTACACCAAATACACCAAATAATGTTCTTTTTAGCAGCATCATATGACCCCTTTAAGAAAATCTTATCAATTTGAATGCTAGTGTATCAGTCATTATCATTGGAATGATTTGTCCTTGTTCACAGCAGGAATATGATGGAACTGCAAAGGAACCGATTTTAACCCACAGAAAAGGCAGAGCTCTGTTTATACAATTCCATGTGTTTTATACACAATTATCTTTGTTTCCGTATTGTTAATGAAAGTTTTGTTATTGATACAGAAAGACAGTACTGAGGCATACTGTCTGAATCTTTGGCTTTCAGGTATCCAGATGTTCCAGACACGGCGGAAGCCATTTCTCAGCTTGGCTGCAAGCATATCTGCAAGCATGTGAATGAGGCTCATGTCGATGGGAAAAATAAGATTGTCACCACCTGCGCTTTCATGTGCAAAGCTCCACTGCATGAAATATTTGATGGAATTGGAGTGATGGTACAGGAGGTGCTGAAACTTGCCTGAATTCCTGCAAAATGTCTGGATTGGCCCTGTCTTTTTAATGTTTCTATATAACAATTCCAGTGTCTCAATAAACAAGTAGCATAATTGTCATTGTCTCATTAAGACTGTTTAGATTTAGTCACAGATGAATGATAATGAGTCCAAGCCTTATTTAAATATTTATTGATTGGAGAAGTCATTTATGCTGACATCTGAACATCTAACTAGTAATGCTTATTTTTTTTGAGTCTTAAGGTCAGTCAGGAGCACAGATGTTCATTTGTCCCAGTTTTCTAAAAATGCACTATAAAGGTCATATATAAACTACCGTTTAAAAGTTTTTTTTATTCGAAAGTACTTTTATTCAGCAAGGATGCATTACATTGATCAAATGTGTTGAAATGTGTTTTGAGCATCAAATCAGCATATTAGAATTATTTCTGAAGGATCATGACACTGAAGACTGAAGTAATGGCTGCTGAAAATTATTTTCAAAAACTCATCACAGCAATAAATTATATTTTAAAATAGAAACCAGTTATTTTAAATTGTAATAAGATTTCACAATATTACTGTTTTACTGTATTTTTGATCAAATAAATGCAGTGTTGGTGAGCATAAGTGACTTTTTTTCAAAAACATCAAACTTTTCAATGGTAACGTAAATGACTTTATTAGATAAACAACAAATATACAACAAAGGTAATTTCAACATGGAATAGAAAATACAGAACAGAAAACAGTGATGTAAAAACAAAAGAGGTAAATGACGTGAAACCTTTCATTCAGAAATGTGAAAATGAACAAAGCTGTATTCTCTCTTCACTTTCAGTTTGACAAGTGAGAGGAACTTACTCGCCACTTTCTGGGGAAAAAAACTACATCTGATGAAAGAGCTCTATTACTTAATTCTGTATTTGGAAAAAAAAAAAAAATCTGACATTGCAGAAATACTGTAGGTTAGCCAGAATACATTCAAAATGCATATCAAATATATAGCCAAGGTCCATAATAAATACTTGCCAATCACCAAATGAAAGTTGGTTTTGGTGAGTAAATAACTTGTAACAATTTGGTTGGAATACAAAATGCAAGATTTAAGTCACAATACCACAGTGGTTCTCATGCTTTTACCTCATCAGCATTTACACATGTATCATATTCACCATCAAAAGTTTGCTAGGAACTACATCGAAACTCTATGTGGCACATATCCACCAAAACGAGAATATAAGGAACAAAGTCATGACAGGTTTCAATATAACACATGGTTCAACAACATACTTTCTATTAGCCTAAATTGATGCCACAGTACACAATCATTCAGGCCAAAGCTGAGGAGTGACGCTCATCTCTATGCATCATGTGCTTATTAAAGTGCATGTATGACCAAAGCATTGAACAGTCTTGGTTTGTGTCCAGATGGTCTACAGTGTAAATAATACCCTCCACGACCTCAGCGCGCAGCACAGTCGAAGCATTAGCCCTGAACTTCCTCACCAGATCCTCATGACTAAGAGGTTTCCTCCAGTGACCGTAAAACGTGTTGCAGCGCGCAGTAAACATTTCCCCCTGTGTTGTCTCCACTGCAATTTCGCAATACATCTTTTCAAAGCTCGAATGATTGTCTTGTGGATTTTCCAGCTGTACTTTCAGAAGCATCTCCTTTAGGGCACTCCTGTTCATCTGGCTTTTGCTGAAGGACTCGACAGTGACCTCTCCATCCAGCAGTGCGGTACAGCAGTTGAACTGGAAAGAGTGTCTGGCCTGGTGCTCGCTAACTGGAAGAGGGCAGTCTACATATCTGGATGTGGGCACTCTGAGAGTGATCTTCTTGATTTGACTGAGATCTGCATTTGGGCATTTGTCCAGAAATTTCGCCCTTGCTTCTATTGCTGCATCTGCCACCCAGTGCATCCCGAGATGGGCGGGAAAGCGCTTCTGTGCAATGTTCTGGTCTTCTAACACCCACCTGTAATGAGAAGTAGGGGTGACCTCAGCCAGTGGGTGAGGGACATAATCTGGATAGAAGGCCCCGAAGCCTGATTCCAGATCCAGAATCTGTGTGTTACCCTCAAGGCTGAGGAGAGCGAGTTGGGTGGCCTCCAGACCCCCTCGGGCAGCATTGCCCATGTGGAGAGGTTTGGTTTGAGTCGCAGCATTTGCCATGGGCGCTCCAGCAGATGAGCAGGCTATCGCTAGAGCTGCTATGCTCTGGGCCGCTGAGAGACCCAAAAGTTTAGCCGTAGCTGCCACACTGCCCATAACCCCAACAACTGCAGGCGGGTGAAATCTGAGAGGGACACATGAATCAGAATAAATATCTAATAAATAAAAAATCTTTATTAATCAGCAAAGGTGAGTAAAGTCATATGGTTTTGCATTAAAATCAAATTCCATTAGAACAGTTAAAACAGTTAGAAATGTACACATTTCTAACTGTTTTAACTGTTCTAATGGAATTTGATA